TGTTCTCTATTCTTATTGATGATGATGATTACATCAGTGAAGCTCTTAATAGTGAATACTTGATCTGCAGTGAATGTCAATTGTTGTTTGACTTCTGTCTCAGCCTGTCACTATGTATACAAGACCTCAATCTCATTTAGAATCCTCATACATGTATGAAGCTTTGATTTCAGTTCAGTGATCTCAGCTACTTTTCTTACTGTTTTAAGTAAATTCTCAGAGAGGTTCTGCATACCTTTCAGTTCAGATAGCAGAGAAGAGTGTTTGTATTAACTAGGAAAGATGTTCATTTCAGTGGTTTCTCATTTATCATACAATGTTATTATTATTATTATTATTCTTCAATTATAGATGTATGCAGTCAGAGACTATGACATCTACCTGAGAACTAAAAGTTCTCAGGGTTTTTCCTATATCTATACAGTTAACTATTATACATTCATCAATTTCAGATATGCAAAATCAGAAAATGCCAGCCCAGAATACAAAAACTGTTTACAAATTGCAGTATTTTAACATCTTCTGATACTTTGAAACCATTTGACATGACAAAAGAAAGGAGAACACAGTCTTAAAGATAGACACATTAAATAGATAAATAGAAAAGAATAGAAAGAAAAAGGTAAAGTAAAATAATGAGAGACTGTAATGAAACAAATTATTGAAAGATAGTATATAGCTGTTTTAACAGACTATATCTGATCAATTTCCTTCTCTTCATATTCAGATATTTCTGAATTCAGCTATTTTCTTATAGCTGCTTAAGTTTCTGATAGAAAGTCTATTAAGTATTTAATTCCTGTCTCAGTTGAGAATAAGAATGTCATATTTAATTGATTTAGATCAAACTTCTCTTTCAATCTGACTCTGAGACTATTGTATAATGCACAGTGCATTACAATATACTCAGGATTCTCATTTGCATTGCAGAATGAGCATTCTATTGAATCAAATCTATCATCAAATCTTTGTATATAAGATTTGAAATAGCCATGTTCTAATTTCAGCTGTATTATAGATGAGAATATTTTCTTTTTACATTTAATTGAACAAGATTTCCACTTGGGTTTTGTTTCAAATCTTGAATAATGTATACTCTTCTTTTGTTTCTGTCAGCTTTCATTTCACTTATCTAAACAAGATTCTTTTATTTTCCTCTTTATAAAAGACCAGAACTCAATTTTTTGAACAGATCTGCTTAATTCTGAATCTTTTTTTGCAGCTGAATCAGTCAATTTATTATCATGAACATTCATATAAGCAGGAACTCAGTGTAGATGAATTATCAGTGTTGATGTTCTTCTCTTTTGAATTTTTAAAATGAAGTTTAAGATCAGTTCAAGATTTATTTGATCATTATAAATCTGACTATTTCTAAGTCTTTTTAAAGCAGCTTGACTATCAGAGAATATTCATATCTCTTTCAAACTACTTTCTCTTTTATGAGATTTTATTTTAATAAGTTTGAAAGCTTTCACTATTGCAAATAATTCAGCATCAAAGATTTCAGATTCACAGCCTAAATTCCAGAAATCTGAGATAAAATTAATATTATCTTCAGTATAAGCAATGTCTGCATCTAATCTATTCAAATTCTCATTTTTTAAGTTATCTGAATAAATCAGAATAGAGTCTTTTTATATTAATTGTAGAAATTCTTCTTTCAAATGCTGTTCATATTCTTTCTCTTTAGATAGTGTCACTTTATTTTAAAAGTCTAATAAGAGAATCAAGCTTTTTCTTCTCCAGAAGAGATTACTTTCCCATGATCCACTTTTTCAACATTTAAAGAAGAAAATTGATTTTTAATCAGTGAGCATAGTCTGTACAGTTGAGAAGGCATTTTCTTTGAAGAATTATTTTCATTTCAATCAAGAAATCTATTTCAATGCAGTTCATTTCCAGAGTTAACTGATAGAAATGAGAAAGAGACTCTTTCTCTGATTATATAATTTGAGCTCATCTTTATAACTCTCAGAGCATAGTTCATACAGGCCTTTTCAAATCTAATAGCAGAAGAGGGAATTGAAGCTTTAATTTTCATTGCTTTAATAGAAGATGATTTGAATGCTCTCAGAATTCTTCTCAAAGCTCTGTTTTACAGACTTTGAAAGAGTTCAGTGAAATTTCCTTGATTATTTCATCAAACTTGAACTTTATAATCAGCTACTGAGGTAATACAGGCTATATATAACTGTCTCATAGCCTGAAAGAATAGACCTCTCTCTGTATTTGATAGTCTGATAATGTTGTTCAATAGTCTTTCTGCCTTGACAGTTCTTTGTTGAATATGACATTTAAAATTCAACTTAGAGTTTAACCATACTCCTAACTATTTAATATTTAAACTGGGTTTAATCTCTCTATTTAAAAGAGTTAGAGATAGTTCTTTCTCATTGAATCTAGGAAAGAAATGAATTAACTCAGTTTTATTCATATTAAATTGAATTTGATTAATATCTGCTTGGACAAGGATTTCCTTTGCAGCTTTTTCAATCACTTTTAAATTCTCTTTGATAGTTTTTAAGCTGTAGACTAGACTAATATCATCTACATAACTTGAAGATTGCACTATTTTCATATTTCTATCTTTGAATAGATATGCAGTGTATATTGTAAATAAAATAAGTGAGATTGAAGATTCTTGCAACACTTCTATTTTTATCTCAGTCTTGTCTTATTTCATTTCATCAAAGAAAAGTTATATCATTCTTTTAGATATAAAACAGTTAACTCATTTTATTAGAGAAAGTGACAGTTTTAACATCTTCAAAGTCTGAATTAACTTTGGCTTTGAAACATGATCAAATGCTTCTTTTATATCAATAAAAACTGCAGTTGAGACCAGATCTTCATGCTTTGCTATTTGAATATTATGAATAACTGAGAGAACAGTGTCAATTGTAGAACATTGTTTTCTATCTCTCATTTATTCACTGAATAAAAGAGAGTTATTAATAGAGCTTATAAAAGATAGTTGAGTAACTATTATCTTTTTCAACATCTTTTCTAGACAGTTTAATAGAGATATTACTCTATATGACTTAGAAATTGATGTTTTTCTATTAAGTTTTGCAAGAATTACTTCAGTGGCTTCTCTCCAGCATTCAGAATGATATTCATTTTTCAAGAGATTGAAAAAGAGCTCAAAATATTCATTCTTTAAGTAGGAATATGTATTTTGAATAATTAAGTGATTAATTGAATCAGGCTCTGCAGCAGTTTTAACAGAACTTGAGAAGATAGCTGACTCTAATTCATCTTGTGTAAGATCAGGCCATTCTCAGTCATTTTCATCAATATAGTTGAGAAGTGATATATTCTCTTTCTCTTTCTCTGAATCTGAATCTGGTGAGTTCTGAAAGAGAATTCTCATGAAAGCTTGACATTTTTCCTCAAAAGAGTTTGCTGTATATGATTCATTCTGAAACTTATATTCTAAGGCTGAAAGTTTTGCTACACTTCTTGTTTTAGTAAAGTTAAAAGCTGTAAAAACTTCCTTTTCTTATGCTTCTTCAAGAAATTTATTTCAACAGTCTGTTTTAGCTCTTTTAATATCTGAAAAATATTCATTTCTGATAGCTTTGAACTCTTTATCAGATATTATATCATTCTTTCAATCTCTTCTAGCAGTAGCTAATTCTTTTCTTTTAGATGAGATATTCTCATTTCATCAAGGTTTTGAATACTCAGAAGATTTTCTCTTTGAAATATTATCTCTAACACTTATTAGAATAATAGATGTAATAAGCTTCACTCTATTCTTAAGCATTTCATTTGAGATATCTTGACCAGAATTTCAATATAGCTTATTCTGTCTTTCAGATTTTAACAGTTTTATACTTTCTTCAACTGCTTTCTAATCAGCTTTTTCAAAGTTAAACTTACTAGAGAGAAGAGGATTTTCTCTCATTTATTTTTCACTCAGTTCAATATCAAATTGAATAATCTCATGACCTGATTCTGATGTCTCATTTGAATTAATAAATCAGTTTACAAGTTTTCTTTTCATTAGATTTTGTGATATGAAGATTAGATCTATAATAGATTTCTGTTTCATATCTTTTCTAAAGAATGTTTGTTAATCAGACTTATTAATCAAATCTATTGAATGCTCAAAGATTCATTCAATCAGATTATCAGCTCTCACTGCTCTCTTGCATTCTGAATTTCATCAGAGATGATGTGCATTGAAATCTCCTGCAATTATAGAGTTTCTTGATAAAGTTATATTCAGAAATTCTCTATCAATTGTTCAGATATTGTTATTTTTCTTCAATAACTTTTCATTATAGATATTTATGAGCTGTATAGTATCAAACTCATTTTCTTTATCTATAATATCACTCACCAGAATATCAGGGTCAGACATGATATCAAATCTTACATTAAATTGATATCTTGATCTCTTTCTTTCATAGATCACTACTCTTGACTTTATCTCAGACTTTAGAGATAGAAAGCAGTAGTAGCTTGAATGAGAAATAATGTAATTTTACTCAGCATCAAAATTCAGTTCCTGAAGTAGTATAAAATTAACTTTTTATTCAAATACAATTTGAAGATAAGAATAAATACAATTTGAGTTTCTATTCACATTATTTTAAATAAATGTGATTTTTGAAGAGTTTTTAAACTTTTTTTATTGTTTTTATTGTATATTCATACTAAAAGAGAGTAGAGATAGAGTAGGATCTAGTCACTATCATCAGATAGTAGATTATAACTATTTTGAAAAGTAGAGATCTCAACTGCTTACATTATATCTAGTTTATCATCAGAGTTATTTCTCAATTCTCTAATCTTAACAGAAGTTTGAGAATTCAAATTCTGTTTACATTTAGCTGAAGAATTGAAGTTTGAAGATTTAGATAGTTGAGAGTTTCTTCTTTTTAAGCTTATAGTTGTAAGTCTACTGGCTTGACTCTTCTCTTCAGTTCTAGATTGACTTTGAGCTTCATCTTTTCTCCAGTTCTTTTGAGTTCTAGGAGTAAATATACATTCTTTTGAGCTAGATGCATGTTTTTCTTTGTAATTAGAGCACTTAAGCAGAGTGTGTTGACATATTTCATCTCTTTTTGAGCATGTTTCACATTTATGCTCACTAGGTTTATGATCTCTGGCACAGAATGCATATTTTGAGTCTCTAAAATATGAGATTGCAAAGTGTTCATATCTTTGACAGTTTGAACACTGTGTTTGAGATTTGAGATTCATTCTTGAGTCTTTGTATTCATGAACTCTCATTTTCAAATCTGCTACTCTTACTTCAGAGATCTTTGACTGTTCAAGTGTTTTTATATATACTAGAACAGAGGCATTTCTTCTGCTTTATCTGAACTTAATTGAATTTAGTCATACAGGCTTCTTTCTCAGTTGAATAGAGTTGTATTCTTTCAATTCATTTTGAGAAGTTGTATTTCTTCTTCACAGTTAAAAATTACAACTGAAATATCATGAAGAATGAATTTGTCTCACTTTTCATCTCTTTCAGATAGAATTGTTGTGTTTAGTAAAGATTCTACTACTGACTTTCAGAGATTCTCATTCTGAATAAGGAATTCAGCACTGAATTCAGGCATTGTAGTCAGAATGATAGAGTTTTCAAAGAATGATGACTCAATTGAAGCTATAACTGATTTTTGAACTTCAATATCAGTTATTAACTGAGAAAAGAACTGCTGATTAATTTCATTTCTGATTCTGAAAATGAGATTTGAGTTTAGCTTGTTTCTTTGCAGAATATCCTGGTTTGAGACTTTGAGAATAAGTCTTCTATTTCTGAAGATTTGAAAGTTTTTCTCTTTTTGCATTTTCTTTTTCACTTTTCTATGAATAGAGATATGAGCAGTATTCTTCTCAGTTTTCTCAGGATTTTGAGCAGGTTTTGAGACAGCAGGTTTAGAGACAGTAGATTCAGCTACTTGAGCATATGTTTTCTTCTGATTCAAAGAAGAAGAAGAAGTAGAAAAAAAAGAAGAAGAGCAAGATGAAGAGTCAGTGATTATACTAGAAATTTTCAATGTTTTTTGAACTGTGTTTGAGATTCCAAGTTTGAACTTGATCATCTCCTGTAGTTGTCTAGCCTGAGCATGAAGAATTAACAGAACTTCTTCATTCATCTCACTCAGACACTGCTTTTCAAGAATCTTGCTTACTTTTTCAAGTTTCTGTATTTCAAGAACTTGTTGTTTCTCTATTTCTTCTTTCTTTCTTCTCTTCAGAATTTCAATCTCAGGAACAGCATTTGAGAAAGCATCTTTTTCCACATCAACTGAGTGTATTTTTGAACTCATTGTTCTCACTCAATGAAAAGTTGGTCAGACTGTTTCAAAAGAAGAATAAAAGACTTTTGTGTATAAAACACCTGATTTTTTTTCACACTAGTTCAGTAACTAGGTTAGATTTTTGAAGAGAATCTAATAAACTAAAATTGATTTTTAAGATAAATTAATAAAATCTTTACAATCTCTTTCTTGAGATACAGTGAGAAAGAGTATGATATCAATTGATAATGAATCAGATAATATGACAGTTTTTGAGAGAAAAACTGACAAAAAATAAATCAATTTTTTGCAGAGAAATTGATTAAAACTATTCAATTTTATTCTAAATTATTCAAATCTTCTCACACAACAAGTGTGCAACTCAAATCAGTTAATAAAGAGTGTAAAAAAGAATTAAGTATTAATGAAAGCTCTTCAGTCACTGAAAAAGTAATTCTTACTTAAAAGAATATGAAATTATGACAGAAAACAGCTCTGTTTTTAATTCTTTGTAAGAATATTATGTAAAACCCAGGGAAAAACACCTTACTTTTTCAAGAGAAGTGAAAAACTATTTCTAAGATCTTTTTTTTTTTTTTGCATTAACTGCTGTAGAAGAATGAGATAGAAACTGCTAAGATATGCACTACTATATACTCTCTATCAAGACTTTCCCTCTTCAGAGTCTTGATATTATAGAGAATATAAGTCTGTTTCTATATAATAATATAAATAGTGTCAGTGAGATGTAGAGGAACTGATTATTTATATCTCAAAATAAAAGACTTTGTCAATGATTATATCAATATAGAGTTAATTCTTAAATTTAATAGAAACCTAGTGTTGCTGTTCTCAATCTCTTGCAGAATCTATTGAATATTGAGATATTAAAACTAGATTTAATATATCTCACTGTGCAGGGATCAAAGGCTCAGTCAGATCTTGAGATATACTGATTTTATAGTTGTTGATGTGCTGTTGACTCATTGTCCACTGATTATGTATCAAATGCTGTTGCCAAGGTATCTTTTTGTATTGTTCTGCCGGGGATGGGCCAGATTGAGAGGGGTAGTACAAGGGTGAGACTTGGTGTTGAAGTCTAGATACACTGACGACAGACTGTGGAGGTTGCACTTCAGAAGTGTCTGTTGGTTATGTGCTTGATATTATCGCCGAGGTATCTTTTTGTATTTTTCTGCCGGGGATGGGCCAGATTGGGAAGGGCGGTACGAGGGTGGGACTTGGTGTTGATGTTTTGGAACATCAAAGGTGGACAGGGTTTTCGCGGAGATTGCTTCTCAGATATCTCCACAATTACAGATCGGGGATCTTCCAAAATCAAGAAGATTGGCACATATGACTATGTCTCTTCACCTTACAATTTGTATGGCACTTTGGCCCGGGGTTGTGGTGTGGTAGGGGTGAACGGGGGATAATCCCACACGGGAGTGTCGAACAATGTCTAGTTCACGTTTGGCTGGATATCTCCACCACCACACGGGGTATGCGGTCGGCGATGGGGTCAAAATGCTCGTATGATCGAGGGCTTTTCGATGGATCTATCGGCGGGTTCTTATTCGAAAAATCGAGCGAGTTCGTGGTGGAGCGGTTGACTCTTGATCATACAATGTCTATCATTATATTATTATATCATTATATTATTATATCATTATATGATTTCTGTTTTTCATTTCCTGTTATCATTGTATGACTTCAGTGATAATCATCTCTCTTTTATTCTTCTGAGTAGAGAGCAGTCTTCTTTGAATCTGGTTCATCACTCTCATTTCTTTTCTCACATCTTATCTGTTCACATATGTGACATTCATCTGAGTGTGAAGTTTTTCTTCAACAAGCAGAGCAGTATAAATCAGATGCTCTTTCACTTATCACTTTTTTATATGCTATCTTTTGAGACATTTTAGAATCACACTGATATGAATCATATGATAACTATGAATTACTTTATAGATGGAATTATCACACTCTGAAGAAGTCTGTACTTCTCACCAGTTTTTTAGATATACTATCAGATGTGATTCAAAGGTTGCTTGAGCCAGTGTATGATTACAGACATACACTGACTTCTTATATATAGTACACTAAATTAATTGGTGGCCGCTATGGCCTCTTTACATTCGTAAGCAAGTTCGGAAGCGGCCGCGATATTATCCGACGGTCGTACGTTCTTCTAAACCACAATTTTATCATTCTTTAAGTAAGAGATTATTGTGTTCACTCATTCTGATTTCTTACATTCTCTCAGTATGTTTAATACGAACTTCTCTTGCATCTAATTTATAGAATTCTTACTTATAAACTCAGGTCTGCAACTAATTGTATCAGATATCACAGCATTCAATCTCATTCAGTATTTAATATGAAGATTATATGCTTAGAACTCTGAGATTCAATATGCTAAGCATTTGAAAGGTTTTATTGTTAATTATAGATAGATAAGACTTTTATAATCTATGATCACTGTTATTGTATACCTGTTATCAATATATCTATCTCACAATGCCAGTGTGTGCTTGATTGCTAGTAATTTCTTTTTATACACTGAGTAATTGAGCTCAGCATCTGATAGTTTTCTATCATTGTATGTCACTGAGTGCAGCTTACTATTCTTACTCATCTGCAGAAGAGTGTCTCTGATCACTCATTCAGATGCATCTATCTTAATATAGAAAGGTTTATTGTCATCTGATTGAATAAGTACTGAGAATAATATCATACATTTTCTCAGTGTGAGAAAAGCCTCTTTGTATACAGTATTTCAGATAATTGAATAAAACTTCTTCTTCTGCAGATTAGCACTCATTTCTCTTAAGAGATTTAAGAGTGATACAGCTATTAGTATGAACTCTTCAATGAATCTGCAGTAATATGAGACCAACTCAAGAAACTATTGTATATAATATATGTTTCTCAGCCACAGTTAATTCACTATGACATTGAATTTCTCCAGAATGAGATGTATACAGTTATCACTCACTACATATTCTATAAACTTCAACTCTTCTGTTTCAAACACACACTTTGTTGATTTGATATAGAGCTTATACTCTGTCAGAGTTGTAAGCACTTCATCAAAGTGCTTCAGATGTTTATCATATAAGTTTGAGAAGACTAGAATGTTATTCAGATATACAACACATGAGATTTTATTCTATTTATAAAGAATTCTATTCATCATCATTTGAAAGATGACAGATGTATTTATCAGACTGAATGACATTGCCAGGAATTCAAACTTCTCTCATTGCATTTTAAACATAGTTCATAATACTGATAGTTTATTTACACAGATCTGTCAGTATTCTGAGAGACTATTGATCTTTGATAGATATTAAGTATTTTTAACTGTATTTAACTGTTATTGAATCTGTAATAGTGAATATTCATTGTGAATTATAAGCTTGTTAAGTGCTTGATAATTGATACACATCTGTCATTTCTCATTCATCTTTTTCATGAATAGAACTGAGAAGCCTCACATACTTGATGAGAATTGTATGAGACTACATTCTAGAAGGTCTGTGATCTGACACTTCTGTTCTTTAAGATGTGTTTGTGACAGAGAATACACATTTTAATTGACTGGTTTTGTGTCCTTCATGCCAATCTTATGTATGAATTCTTGTTCTGGCAGCAATTTCAGTGAAAGATCTGTTTGAAAGATCTTTTCATACTTCTTCAGAAGTTTCTTCATATGCTTGTTCTTCTGTATATTCTTTATCTTGATTTTCTCCCCTTCTGAGTTCTGTATGATATACAGAATGCTTTTGAATGAGATCTTGTAAATTGTTCTCTTTACTTATTAATATTTAAGCAGATTTAACTCTTCTATATCAGAGATGTGAAATGTTCTTCTCATATCAGTTAATAGAATTGTATGAACTGTTTTCTTTCTATCAGTTAACTATATATAACATGTATGTCATTGAATCCGTGAATTGAATTTTTTTTGAAATCAATTAAGTATGAGAATAAGGTTGTATTTCATGTTCTGCAGCTCTTACACACAAATATAGCAAGATCACTCTCTGAAGTGTAAGAGAACTCTTACTCTTATAGATGATACTAAATATCAGTTATCAGACAATCTTATATATTGAGAATTCTTCACTTGATGAACCTCTTTCAGTCTTTGAATTATATAATTATTAATATATTGTGTAGAAGCTTCTGTGTCTGTTAATACTTTTACAGTTATCTCTCAATTCTTATCTAAATGCTTTTTATACATTAATATTTCAGATCTCAAGGCATTAAGATGAGTGTCTGCTGTATCAGTCTCACTCACATCTTATTCAGAAGCCTGCTTTGTCATGATATTTACAGAATTCAGAGAATTATCTAACACAGACATCTCTTTCACTTTGAAGACTTTTCATAGAATATCAGTGAGTGTCTTCAAGCTCACTGATTCTGCTAGTTTTTTAACTTTCTTACTTCTCTTGACTATGCATACTATGTGTAATTCTTTACATCATGGTTTTAGTGTCTGCAGTTGAAGTAAGCTCAATACTTATAATATTAAGATTTTCACTTAGAGAATTTCTTTTTTGAAAGATTCAGTGCTTTAGCAATAACATTCAGATCTAGATTCATCATATTCAGATGTATAACTTATGTCATAGAAGTCTGATTATCTATTCTCTATTAAGATA